TATGCGCACATGCTATTGGGAGCGCTCTGTTCTCGTCGTGACGGTCGTAGTTCTCGTGTGGGTCGACATTAAAGTTCGCGTTGTTTGCTCGCAAAGTGCATGTTCATTTATGTGCGAGCGGATGCAATTTGCCGCTCGCTCGGCAGTACGTAATTTACAATTTCTCGAGCCCCACAAGCACCGGCATAGACAATTTTTATCGAACTGAAATACTTAACTGATCTACAACCATGGACCTAGTCAACGTGTTTTTCATGTTTTTATTGTTATATTGACCACGTGAATAAAGTAAGACATAGCATACAGGGTGGAGAAAATGCAGACGCCTGGATCTATCCATCAATTTAGCAAGCGTCGCCGCGGTCGTATATTAATCACGTTGAAATATGGCTTTGCGGATAAAAGTGGCGGTTCCACGGCGTCTTTTTGCGTTCGTTCGTCCGTTGTGCGCGCAGTTCCTTCTGTCGGCTTTATTTTAGCCGTGGTGGAGGCGCCGGGCGCAGAAGGAATATAGACGTGCGCGGCGAAATGTGACGAGGTGCCACATGGACGAACACGACTTTGACGCGCACCGCCGGTAATCATGCACCGGGGAGTATAAGTTATGAAAAATGCAAAGTGCGCGCCAACCCTCTAACGTCAAGTTTAAAGTTACTTTTAATAGAAACGAGAATAGAAACGTATTTTGCAGGTATAATGAGATACAAAAAATAGCAGCTTTGTTTTCAAGGGTGAGAGAGATTGATGATTACGAGGATAGAATTTCTGTGAAATGCAAAAAACATTCAAATATTTTTAGGATAAAAATTGATGTTTTTTTTTTGTGTGCAATAACTCAGCGACTATCAAAGATACTTACCCAGTGCTGGTATTTTAATGGTAATGATATGGTTTGAAAGGCTTTTTAATACACTAGGTATGACATGACGAATCGCATAATGATTGCTAGTTAAACGAGCCAGAAACGTGCTGGAAGCGCTTTTTTTCGTCGGTGCCCTTTTTATCGGTATCTTTATTACATTTTCATGAAGTATAAGAACGCTGATGTATTCAGTTATTCCAATTCCCTTCGCATATGCGTTCCACCGCCGCTCATTCCGGCGCTGGAGCGTCGTTTCCCTTTGAGCGCATCGCTAAAGAAATCGATATATTTTTATTGCGTTACCGCGCGCGCCACCCTCGCCGCCGACGTTTACACTCGTGCCTGCGACGTGTATAAATAAATATTTTTTCGGGGACATCGGCAAGGTGCCGTTATTGGGCGCGCTTAACGCTGTTTGCGCACGTCCGCCCGACGACATAATAGTCGACATTCGACGAGCGAAGAGAAAAAATAAATAAACGACGAGCACGAACGGAATGGCATCCGGTGCGCGGAAGTTATGATTCGAGTTCGTATATTTTTTACCTGTATTTATCCCAATATTATTCCTGAATGTGCGAAACATCCCAAAACTCGTCTTCATCATTTCAGGTAAACTTCGTTTAAATTGAGCCGGAAGTTTTGGCATTCCAGCGACGGTGACAATGATGCCCACTTTCGGTGGCGATCATATTTCATTAAAACTTTTATTTGCCCTTTGCGTGCATCCTGGTGGTGAAATTTGATAATAGGTAAAACGACTTAGGCGGCTATTCTTGGATTGGTTTTATGGGAAAAGTTTTAATACGCAGGGAGACGGTCACAAATCAAAAAATTATTTTATATTTCACCTGAAATAATGAAAGTTTTTTATTTTTGTTTTGTTTATGTTGTGTATGCATTGAAGTCGAGAGATTATTGTTTGGCGTATCGGCAAACAATGAAACAAATCGTCGAACGGGCGACGCAACACGGCATTCATTACGAGCGCTCTGGGGGACGGCGGGAAGCGCCGACAATATTCGAAAATGAATGGCGGTTTAAGTTTGATTTGGTCAATGCGCAATCAAGCGCCGCAGCTATAAAAACGCAAATTGCGCTCGCGCGACCCCAAAACGCTCGCGCAATTTATAAAACTCCCGAACCGTTATCGCGCGCGGGTCCTGCGCACCCTATCTACAGTCACATTTATTTCGCCCAGTTTGCCGTTTGATCGAAGACTCGGATAAGGGCCATTTCGCTACCAAACGATACAGAAAAACGAAACGAAAATATCAAAAGCGCAATAAATTACTCAATTTTCAAAACAAACACATTTTACAACGTTTTATTTTTTAAATATAAAACTTTTGTTGAAAGAACAAACATATCGAAATTGCATTGTGCCCAAATAAAATGCCGTTGGCAGAACTCAGACTGGCGTTCGGTGTTATTGCAATGTCCACTACTTTCGAGATACGTTGGAGAATTGTCCGAGAAATGGACGAACGCAATCGCAAACATTCGCAACCCTCGCTTGCCAACATTGCCAAAGTTGTAATCTTGAATAAGATGCTGACATGACAGATCAGAACAGTTCTACACAGCACAAAGTCACATTGTCATCAAGTTCTAGTCGCCCCTCTATCCAAACTCTAGTTGATGTTATTCGCAAAAGGTGTAAACTTACTCAACTTATGACTTGTGTTATCATTATTAGCAAAAGTTGAAATTTACTGCGTCGTAATTCACCAAATGATCGTCGCATTTTAACTCTCCACTATTAACATAAAATTCCAATAACGTTTTTGACAGCAATTAGCGACACAAAAAAGATTTACGATCATTATTTATGATTGTGTTTTGGTGCACGGCTCTATTTTTGTATTCCGTTTTCTGTTTGTGTTTTCATTTGTTTTAGTAATATCGGAAGCTGCTTGTTTTTTATACGTCACGTTGTTGTTGTAATGTTTTCGAAAAAGGGCAGCGTTCTATTTTATGCGCACACAATGCGTAATGCATGTTTGGACAAATTTCAATTGTTTGATGTGTCGCCTATGTTTTCGTAAACTACGACTATTCCAGCACAATACAAACAGGACAGGCGAGACGTGTCCGACAAACAGGACAATTATTCTGAAATATTACCGATTTATCGACGTTTACAAAAAAGGAAATCCATGGAAAAATAATAGACACTTAATAATAATTGGATCCACTGGTTATGTATATTTTTGATTGTTTTAACAAAGTAAAACTTAAAAAAATCCCAAAAAAAATTTTTTGTTGCTCAATTGAAGCAATAATTATATTAAAAATATTTTGGTAATGATTTTATAACGTTAAAAACTCATTTCCTTACAAAAAGTTGTCCATGTTGTAAAATGACGGAAAAGCATTAATGAAAAAGGAAATTAAGAATTCAGCGTCGATTGGTGCAACGTAGAGTCACAAAATTTAATAATATATTCCGTAAACGAGGTGGCACCGCCAGACCGGGGCGAAATATCGTTTAATTTCCACGTTTTATAATCTAAAACCCATCGATTCGCTGCGAGCAAACACGTCGCAATAAAAACAGCGAACGTGGCGCCCGCAAACTGCACATTATGATTAATGCACTCGGTTCACACAATATTTTGCATATTTATCATAATTACATATCCATCATGTTCGTGCCTTCGTAGATGAGCTATCTTTGTGCATAAAGAAATAAAAATTACGTTTGAACGGAAATTACTTTGTTTAACATGTAATCGGACAAAGTACGAGTAAGTACATACATGCAGTTAACTTTTAAATTGATGTGATCATAAATTAAAGTATTTTGAATTAATAAATATTTTATTTGTTTCTGCATTCAAGCAGAACGTTTTCAGTTACTGATTGTTTAAAAATAAAAGTCAAACATACACAATCTTTGCTTCTATCTACATATATAAAAATGAATTGCTGTTCGTTAGTGTCGCTAAAACTCGAGAACGGCTGAACGGATTTATCTTATCTTGGTCTTGAATTATTCGTGGAGGTCTAGGGAAGGTTTAAAAGGTGAGAAAAATTCGAATAATAGCCGGGAAAATCCTCAGAACAGCTCTTTTCTATAGAATAAAATTTGACATTGAGATTCAATCATAGTTATAGTTAAATAGTTGAATTCGAGATGGCGCGCTGAAGTGCATTATTGACAAAACTTTATATAATTAATTTCTTTAAATTAAAATTGCTAATCTTATTGATAGAATTGACTCTTACTACGAGTATGTCTAGAACAAGTGAGTAAAAACGAATTACATTTTTATTAAACACTGCCGGAACGAAGTCGCGGGCAACAGCTAGTTCGCAATAAATTGATTTTACGCTTATTTTGCAATCGTTTCTTTATCTCAAACATAAAATTTACATTCTGCAACAATGAATCATCCGGTTTTACAGATACGAAACAATTTGTTAGTTGGCAGATAGATATAATAGTAAAGTGTTTGTAATGTTTAATAATTTTGAATTTACGAAGGCGAAATTGTCTTGCCACATGATAACCATGCGGAAAATTTAATCAGACTCAAATAGGCGTGAAAGCGAATTAGAACGAGCAAGTTGCCGACGCAAATACCACCCGAAAGAACGTAATTAAAAGATATTTTATATTTTAAAGCGCTGTGTGCTCGCACCTACATCGTTGCGCCGTTAATTAAATTCTACGCGAAGCGTTTTCCTTCTGGCGTCGTGCGAAAACCTTTGCTTCATTCTCATTTTCACGTGCTTTTTGGAGAATGTATGCTCGGGGAAGCATTAGCGGAATATTAGAAGAAACGCTCGAATGATAAAACGCTCTTGCGAATCATCTTGATTTATAATTTTAATATAAACTGGCTGAAGGCATGTTCAGAGGAAATAGGCATAGGCTATAGTCTTGGGCTAGAGATTAATTATTTTAATTAAAACTTTCAAAAATAAAAATAAAGCAAAGCAATCAAAACGATTTCTGATGTTTTATAAGTCAATCGAGCGAAACAAATGTTTCTGGCGACACAAATTGGTCTGTCGTCTTCGATTTACCCCAGAATATCATAACTTCCGGTCTACTGAACACAAATCCCAGCCCTATTTCTCTACCCTTATAAATTAAATCAACTTATAAGTATTTATTTTATTTTTTCAGTAAAAGATGTTAGTTCATCTGCTGGTCCAGTGTTTATCAATCCGGAAAACCAAGTAAAACCAACTCAGGTTGCAGCAGCAGCTCCTGGCTCCCTCGTTACTCAAACCGTTTATGGCTTTCTCGATTTTACAACAACCATCGGCAACACGGTTATGGTCTTCTCGCCGCAAAGTGCAGCACCCGCTGCACCCCAACCAACTGAAGGTACTTTCATCCGCAATTGCAATCGTAATTTTAGCTTCATAAATTTACGTCATGTTTTTCACTTTCCAATCAACTCGCTTCCTGCTGCTTGATACTTCCGTTTTACTACTCGATGTTTATTTTATACACTTATGCAGATATCCGGCGTGTTATAGCGTCATAAATTATAATTTGTTGCAGATGCTGTTCCAGTGCCGGAACAAATCGCCGCGCAACCGACTAGCGTCATCGAAACCAAACCCGCACCCTCGGTGAGTGTCGTAACACAAGTTGCTGAAATCCCGGATGTCATAAAACCCAGCAAAACCGAGAAAAACGAGAAAAAATCAAGCGGGATAAGTAAAAAATTGTCATCGGTTGTGCATATTGTGGAATCCAACCAACCAGAAATCAAACCAATTGTGAATGTTATTGAAGGTGTATCAAGTGCGGTTTCTATCCAAGAAGAACCCAAAGCAGCTCCTGCATTTATTCCAGCTCAAGCGTCTAAAATTGAACCAAAACAAAATATTATTACTAAAGTTGAAGTTGTTACTGACGAAGCTACTGCCCAACCAGAAACCCCAATAGTTTCCAGTCATGTTGAAGTCCATGAAGAATCATCAACTGTCCAACCAACTTTTTCAAGCGTAGTGGAAATACAGGAGGCAGAAGAGCCAGCGGTAATTTTAGGTAACAACATTGGAGAACCTGAATATGATTTCCTTTCAAGACAACCATCGGAAGTTGTTGAAGAGACTTACAAGGTCATTAATCTCAAACCCAGTGTAAAATCACATGGTAAAACAGAGCTTCTACACTAAAGAACAAAGGACACAGCGGTGCTACAAAACGATCAGATTCTCAACATCCCACTGGATTGGTCACTAAATTAGGTGGGACGGTTGTAAAGGATGGTGTTACAACTGTACATGAAACCAGTGTTATTGGTACATATATTTCTGGGAAATATGCACAGGTTCTTCAAAGTACTTCGCATATTTATAATGCTAAACAGAAGATTAATCCGTCACCAACTCTGAGAATTCTAAAAACGGCTGCACCTGCTCTGGGTAAGAAAAATAGACACTTGGAACCCACCCCAGCTGCTTCCATCAACGAGGAAAGTCTTCTGGTAGCGGAGGTTACTCAAAACGCCATCAAACCGACAAGGAAACCAGCTAGTTCTGGTAGTTTTAAGCGGTTTAAGAATAGGTCCCAGGAGTATGAAGAGTATGAAAATGATAGTAGTTCCCAAGAGAAAAAGACTCTTAGGAATCGTCAGCAGAGTGGCATCCATGCGCAATCTCGAAGTTTCAAGTAAGTTTTAATAATTTTCAAATCTTTCTATACAGTTTGTTGGAATTGTTTCTGGTCTTTTTACTAAATTTTTCTTGGTTTGCATTTTAAACTGTATTTCTTCTTTCTGGTTGTGAGTAGCACTAATACACTTCTGTAAATATAATATTAGACAGCACCACACCCCACAACAACACTCCAACCACAACAACAACAACAACAACTCTTCTTCCAACAAGAAATTCGGCCGGAACAAGTCTCAAATATCCACTGTGTCTGTATCTAGTGAGCAGCCGCCAGTGGCAAGCAAGAGGTACAACTCGCGTCGGAACAAGCAGCAATCGCGTGCTACAAGTACAGCAGCTCCAGACAACGGAGGCGGCTTTACGCGTCGTGGATACAAGCCGAAAGTCCAAGCGTCTACTGTTGACAGTGGCTCTGCTTCCTCCAGTCTCTATAAGTTTAAACTGAACAGGTCTCCGGGCCGCTGGCAATACAAGACTACTCCCAAACCGCGCGTCACCATCCGGAAGGTCAACGACGACGACGCCAACGATGCAGTGACCCCGCCGCCATTGCAGGAAGTTTCGCCATCCCTGAATGACCTGGTTACTCCTCAAGCGAGGTCAGATGATGTCGACGGTCTCGTAGGTTCTGAATCCGTTGCTTCTATTGTGGATGATGAAAGCTCCACTGAAAACAAACTAGACACTCCATTCCCGTTGGAAACAATTAAAGTGGAGATTTCGACTCCTCCGGATTTCAAAGATATCTACTATGAAATTGCAACGATTAAATCACCGTACACCTTCCAGGTTAGTGTCTTTATCCTATTATTAAGTGACGTAAATGATCGAGGTGAGGATAGAATTAATTTTGTGTTCCATGTTAGGTCGGAAGTGTTAAGAACACACGTTACATCACGGTGACATCTACATTTGAAAAGAGCTTGGAGGCGACAAGCGAAGCGACGATTGGCGCTACGGCTACCGAACCTTTAACAGAAAATATACTCGCGACGGCGAGCAACTACGACAAGGATAACAATTTCCTTGACTCTAGCATTGCGACCCTTCCGCCCCTCTACTTGGCATCCGACATGGAGACTCCGCCATTGGAAACCCTCACTGATACCTTCAGCACAACCCAAACGATGTTAAAGACGCATATCCTGCCTGTCATACGAGGTGGCAACGACACAAGTAGCTACACTCTCGTTCAGACTTACCTTGTCACTCGGTTAGTGACAGCGACAAAGACTTTACCACCAATGGAGGCCTACCATTTTAACCCTAGTAAAACTCTGAATGAATTTAATAGTCATTTGGATGAAGCAGGTTCAGAACTTCATCTGGAGCTTGAATTTGGTGACCAGAATGAGCAAGATGATGGAACACCTAAGAGAATTCTTCCAGGTGATTTGGATCTTGCTAATATAGGTTCTGATTTTGATTTGTCATCAGTAGACAAGTCTAGGATTCCTGATGGGCTTAAACTGCGTAAACCTCAACCTCCCACAACACCTAAACCTCAATTCCCTGATGTTATACAGACACCAAATTTAAGTCCTGAACAACTTCAACAACTAGCGCTTCTTAGGTTGTTGAACCCTCAAGCTGCTCCACCTCAAGGCCAAGTTATCACCGCTTCCAAACCAGTCGTCAAAGTTGAAACCGTTTATGAATCCCACGTCATTCCAGTTGTAAACGGCCAGAATACAATTCTCAGCACATTGTCGAAAATTGTCGGAACTGTTACAAAAACTGACTATGAATACGTAACCAGTACACTGCCAAGCATTCCCAACTTACCCATTCCACCACCGGTAAATCCACTCTTCCCACAACAACAACCTCAATTCGCTGTTACATCATCTCCGGTGGTTCAGACTGCGATTGTAACACAAACGCAAAGCAAAATTTTAAAATTGACCTTTGGTGCAAAAACAGCTTATACAACCATCTTCTCAACGAAAGTAGTGCCTACTTTACTCACCAGTTATATGACAGCATCAGTTGCAGTTCAACCGACGGCAGCATTCCCAGGATTCTTCCCAGCACCATACGGTCCATTCCCATACGTGGGTTAAACAAAATCGCGCGAAATTGAAAAACGGTGCAAAATTTTAAAGTGAATGATCAAGGACAGTCAATTTGATCGTGTGCAATATGTATTATATTATATTTCGATTGTCGAACGCACAGCAACATCTTTCTTGTAAATAAATCCATCGACGAAATTCATCAATTAGTTAAGCAACGAATTTAATTATAAGAGTGTAGATTAAATACGTAGAATAATAAGAAACATTTCATGTAAGTAATAATTCTATTCTTTGATTTCTTTACGAGTAGATATCTTCGAATTTGAATTTCTGGCCCAGACGTGTCACGTCTAATCATATTGTAATTGTAATTTTTTGTATTATACATTATTGTAATATAAATAATAAATTATGGTTATTAATCATTTGCAGGTTGATTTTTATTAAATTTTGATTTTTTTATTTTAAACTAGCTGTTGCCCGCGACTTCGTTCCGGCAGTGTTTAATAACAATGTAATTCGTTTTTACTCTCTTGTTCTAGACATACTCGTAGTAAGAGTCAATTCTATCAATAAGATTAACAATTTTAATTTAAAGAAATTAACTGTATAAAGTTTTGTCAATCTGCCATCTCGAATTCAACTATTTAACTATAACTATGATTGAATCTCAATGTCAAATTTTATTCTATAGAAAAGAGCTGTTTTGAGGATTTTCCCGGCAATTATTCGAATTTTTCTCACCTTTAAAACCTTCCCTAGACCTCCACGAATAATTCAAGACCATGATAAGATAAATCCATTCAGCCGTTCTCGAGTTTTAGCGAGACTAACGAACAGCAATTCATTTTTATATATATAGATTTTTTAACGATGTAGAAATATATTTCTTATAAGAGTTCTGTAACGGAAGAATTTTATGAAAATATCTCATATTCTAACGTCTGATCACATGATATTGCGATACGTTTATATGCGAGAGGTAAAACGACCCGAGGAGGCGGCCAAAGGTGTCATAAATGGAAATAGGCAAAGATATAGAGAGGCAGTGAGTGAGTGAGTCAAAATCAATACCAGAGTCAGCGCCTCCGCCATCTAGATACATGTAACGATCTGGAAAAACGATGCTAATTTATCACAACCTCTATTCTTGATGCATGCACTCTGAATGCAGAAATGTTGAAAATCTAACCGCTGTAATAATTAATAATTACAATACAAGTGTGTATAACTCTTCCGACACTCTAATTAAAAAGCAAAATGTGTTTGGTTCCAGCCCAGCCACATTCGGCTTAAATAAATAATGCCTGATATCCAGCCATGCGATGCTGAAACTGAAGTTTGTTTTGAACGTTCAACTTTATTAGTTGCGAGTTTCCAGCTTTGCGCTTTTGAGCTTTGAGTTTTGATATTCGAGCGCGTTTGACACAATGCGGGTGGGAATTAGTTGCGAGTGAAACAAAGTTGTTTGCTTTTAAGCGAATGCTAATTAAAACGGACTCAATGTGGTATTAAGAATAACTGAAACAATTCGAATGCAAAGATATTTTGGTCATCTAAATCATTCCTACTGCGCATGCGCAGTAAATATATTTTCACAAAATAATTTCTTTTTCTTTTTTTGCGTTTTTACGTACTTTAATGTAGAAGCCAACATATCGGGATTGTGTGTTCTCCCAGGGTGCAATTTTCATTGATTACTTATCAGATTTATGTAATACGTACGTTATCTTCGTTGGAAGTTATTAAATTCTGCTGGTTTCCAAACGGCAGCGACCAACACAGCGCAAACCGACGAAATAATATCGTACGACAGGAGCTTTTTTCTTATTTCGTTTCGTTTTCATTTTCTCTTATTTCTACCCGCATTGCGTTGGCTGGGGCATCTTTGAACAAATCTGGAAATCTCAAAAACCCGCAAAAATCCACCAAGATCTCTAATGATTACATCATAAAATTGTACGATGTTAGAGAAAGAGATGCTTTCCTTAGAACCCGAAGCTTTTCAAGCTTCGTTAGAACATCACGCAGTTGTGATACACATTTATCGGGTAATAAATACAATAAACAAACCGTTTCCTATTAAATGCACCATTCAATAGTCTGATAATTAAAAGCAGCAAAAATTGACATCTCAATTGACAGCTGGACAATATAATATATTCATTTGAATGATTTAGAACTTAATGCTTTCGGGAACGGGCATGATTGGGATGAATGGAGTGAGGGTGGATTGTGCACTCGCTCGAATTAAATGAAGAATGATCGCCGCCCGTTTCCGGCGTCCTTTATGGCGCCGATATTGTTATTGTTGTACGCGTCCGTCGCGGCACAAAACGGCATTGACAAATGACGCTTCGGCGGTCACTTTTAAATTAGATGTGCACACGTGACGCTGCGTCGACTCGCCAATAAATATGAATGCAATATGTTTATTTACTGTTATAATAACATCATTCATTTATTTAAATTTTGCCATTTTCTCCCGCAATAAATTAATGAAAAATACTGTTATTTCGAATTATTTGATTTTATTTTATCTTGTATTGTTTACTAGCTTTAACCCGCGGTTTCGCTCGCGAATATCTAAAGTAATGAAGTTGTTTCCGTACGCGTCTGTGGTAGCCTGAGAAGAAGTAAATAAATGAAGGAACTATGGAAGCTTAAATGGCTGTTATGTCTATAAAGTATAGTGTACAGTCTCCATAGTAAATACCGATTTGATGCGTAGCCGTTTGTAATAATATGTGATAATACAGTGTGATGGTACTATAGTACTTAGGTTTGAGCTTTCAGCTGCTGGAATGCTAGATGGCGTTAAAGTAGTCAAATAGCTAGGATGTAGAGGTATTACGGCAAACAATTTCCTTTTATTTTATTTAAAAATAATTTTTATTAAATAAAAAAGTAGCCTATAAACTATTCGGGACTCACTAAGCATCATGTGTACAAATTTTCATGATGATCGGTTAAGTAGTTTTGCGTGAAAGTGTAACAAACATCAGACTTTCGCATTTAAAATATAAGTAGTGATAAATCCTAAAATTTTGTCGAAAGCCAACTTGCTACAGCAAATTGAGACCTGGGAATAACCACAAACTTGGATACTTTGATATTAATTGCAATTTGAAAGTGCGGAAGTGCTGCATCTTGATTTCGTGCGTCTTACCAGTGTGAATTTATATACGAAAGGAAACAAGATGGCCGGACGTGGAAAAGGCGAGGAGCGTCTTAGCAATCAGATCGAGACGGTCAAGTACTTCATGCTGTTTTTCAACGCATTTGTTATTGTAAGTATTTTTAAATTTTTAATAAAAATTAGTAAAATTGGTATTTCGCAATACTTTGGTGAAAAAATACGCCAACTGCGTGATTAACCGATGATTAATAAACTAAATTTATCTCACAACTCGGTTATCAGTTAGGAGATAAGTTGTTATTCATTATGACGTTATATTGACATTATACCTGTAGAAATTTAGTAAAAACTAGAACAAAGTAACTCAACAAAAACATAATTTTAAGAATCCAGCGGAAATAATAATTAATCGTCATAAATTAACCAAGAAAAGAACAAAGTATGTGATAATCGGCACGCAACGCGTGTAGAATATTCCGAGAAAGCTCGACGCTGAGGCGCGAAACTTATTACTAAATATTGCGCACCTAACTTACCAGCAACGAGTGTTTGTACTTTATGTAGGGCACAGGTACACAAACCTACCAAGATTACAAATGAAATTAGGTAATAAAAATAAATAGTAGGTTATTATTTCCAAGGTAAATTTAAATATAAAAATGTTAAAAATAAATTAATTCTGGTTAAATTAATTGTGAGGATGTTTAAACAATTAGAGTATTTATTAATATTTTCAAAATTAAATGTAAAAATACGTAAACATGTTTTGGTATAATTTCAATTAGCAGAATTAACGCTGGAAGTTAAAGTCTCAAACATGGTTCTTAAATTTAATTTGATGTTTTTTCCTTCCGGCGGTTTTTGGGATATCCACAAAGTATAAAAAATATCGGCTGGAATCTCGTTGGCGGTGCACATTGCGGGGTTTTACCTCCTACCTTGCCGCCACAACAATGCCAAAGCTTTACCTGTACTTACAGAATGTTATTTTTATTCACAACTAAAAAAATCTAAATTTTAAAATTAATTTTAACAACGAAATTATTTTAATATTTAAAAATGATGCATTTAATTGTGTTTATTTTAAAATAATATTATTTTGTGTTATTGTGTTTATATTCTGGTTTTGTAAAATATTTCGTAGCAACCTGTATGATGTTAATTTGCATATACGTATAAGGCACCTAAACATTTTGGTATAACTGTTGGATTTACATATTTAGGCGCTCACGATGTTGCCGCACCGCCGCCGCCGTCGGTTGTTTCGAGGGGCAGAAATTAAAAATTATTTACGCCCCTCGGCGCACGGCGAATGTATGCAAAGCTTCGCGAATAAATCGGATGTAAACAGCCCCGTTGAGTTTTCTCCAAGTCCCTGCCGGTGCTTTCCACCCCGAAAAGTCCTTTCAACGCGCACAGACTGCTTTTCACGTTTATAAATATTTCAAACATTAAGAACAGAAAAACAATTTCAAAAAACAAAAACACACAAATAGATAAAGAACGATTAATGAAAATTCAAACGAATAATTCCTGAACCTATAAATTAAAGTTTACCACTAGTCTAAATGTAGAAATAAAAGGATTGCGTGTTTTTTGATCGTTTTCGGAAGTTGTAAAGTGCATAGGCTGCATAACAATCCTTAATACCTAAAGGTTTAAGGGTTAAAAGTGAATTAATGATATACTAGATGCAATTCAGCAATAAAAAATATTTAGTGATTTTATTTTTAAAATTTACGTTTCTGGATAAGAATTGACTGTATTTCTGCACGTACGAGAAATAAATCGCAGAAGGAACAAATTTACATGTTATTAACAAGTGTGATTAGTCACCACTCTGTAGTTTCAACCCCCAAGCGCAGAAATTGAACGAATACCCGCCGCAAGTCTCGAATTAATTGCGCTGATAAGAAGGGTTTGCTAAAATAGCGCTCGTGTGCACCATAACCGCCAACTATCCAACTACCAACCACCAATCACTAACCTCGAATCTCCGCTCCCGAGTGTAATTGTTCTTTTTAGAAACACTCAACATCAAACAAAGTTAAAGACACAAAAAAAGAAACTCAGTGATAAGAAGGGTTGATAAGTCTTTAAGTCTTAAACCAAGGACACTTGAGTATCCCTACTAATATTATAAATGCGAAAGTTCTGATGTTTGTTACACTTTCACGCAAAAACTACTTAAACGATCATCATGAAAATTTGTACACATATTCTTAGTGGTTCCCGAATGTTTATAGGCTACTTTTTATTTAATAAAAAAAATTATTTTTTAAATAA